TTTTGTAAACCCTAAACCCCTAAACCCCCAAACCCCAAAGCCCATTGCAGGGGTGCCCTTAAACCCTAAACCCTAAACCCCAAAACCCTAAACCCCTAAACCCCAAAACCCTAAACCCCCTAAACCCCCAAAGCCCATTTCAGGAGCGTTGGAGTCGATGGCTTCCTGCAGCTTTGTGGCTCCGAAGGCGGCGAGTCAGGTCGGGACTGCCTCCGTCAACAACAGTAACCTTTAAGGGTTTAGGGTTAAGGGCTCCAGTAACCTTCAAGGGTTACAACAGGTTTTTTTTTAAAGGGCGCCTGGGAGTCTTACTCTAAGGTTTCCGTTTGGGGTTATATAAGGGTGAAGGGTTTCGGCGTTCACTCCCGGACATGCCAGGCGACATTCTTCGTGCTTAGGGTTTGGGGTTTGGGGTGCAGGGACAATGCAAATTATGGGAGCTTCAGCGGGTAAAGTTATCTAAGGGTCCTGACAATAATCACCCTAGTACTTTTAGCTTCTATATTGGGGTCGCCTTGTTCTGAAACTCCCATATTCCTATTGTATCACCATTTCTGGGTGGGGGCCGAGCCTGTAACATAACACCTGTGAGGTAACAAAAAAGGAGGAATAACAATAATTGCAATAATCATAATAATAAGTAATAACAATAATACTAGTAATAATAATCATCATAAGGAGCACTACAAAACAAGGGTTTAGGTTGGGGGAAGAGCTGCAGGAGACCCGTCAGGATCCTTTAACAGAACTCGGCTCTCCAGGTTGGTAATGTAGGGGGCCGTAATAATTAGAGTAGGGTTGTTTGGGCTTCTTTATGGTAGAGTTATAGTAAGGAAGCCTAAGGAATGATATAGGTAACTATTTAGGCTTCTATAGTATGCCCCAAGTACCCCTGGGCCGACGTCATCACAATCAGGGTGTCACCATTGGCCATTCACCCTAAACCCCAAACCCTAAACCCTAAGTATGTTGATCACCGTCATCATGACTATCGAGATGCTGCAGGTTATCATCACTATCGTCATCCAGGTCCTAAGGGCCCCCTCGCCATTGTCATCATCGATTCTATAGCTCTCGTCACCATGACCGTGCTGATGAGCATCCATCTTGAGCATCATGTTCTCCACAATGCACTGGGCATATCAGTAAGCTAAACCCCAAACCCTACCTGGACCCCAAAGAACCTACCTTTTTAGGGCTCCTTATCATGATTTCTTGATATGAGTCCTTAGGGTAAGTTATTTGAGGTTCAGGTAAAACCCCAAACCCACAGTAACTAACATCCCAGCCTCTGGCGGTCCTCATGCTCTTTTGAGTCTCCTGATATATAGGCGTTTCGCAGCTCCGGGGCTGTATTAAAGGAAACTACAGGTGGGGAGTTTAGGGTATATAGGGCTTCTATAAGGCTTCTATAAGGTATGTAGACCTTCTATAAGGCTCCTATAACGGTAACTACCCACCTGAAGATGTCCTAGACTGTAGGGATAAAGAAGCCCGAAACCATAAGCCGAGAACTTTTTTGAAGGCCCAGCATGCAGGGCTTAACAAGATCCCTAAATCCTATTCCCGCAAACCTGATTATTCAGGCCCCTATGTTATGCAGGGCTTTACAACATCGCTGGACAGACACAAGATGCACAACCTCCTAAACCCTCATAGTACCCCTATAGATCCCGAGACACTACAAGCTTCAGCCCACGTCATCACGCGGTCAGAGCCCGATCTTCGACTTCAACGCATCTTCCGAGTTTCGCTGGCTTTGGCTTGTTCTTTGGGTTCGGCTCTGGGAGTCAGGATTAGGATCTAGGGTTTAGGGTTTAGGGTTTGGGGTTTAGGGGTTTAGGGTTTGGGGTTTGGGATTTAGGGGTTGGGGGTTTAGGGGTTTAGGGTTTAGGGGTTTAGGGGGGCCCTTGGGGACATAGACGCTCTCAATAAAGGCAAAAATAGGGTTACGAAGGCTCCCCTTTGAAGGGTCTACCTACTACTACCTAGGGAAAATAAGTTACCCTTTTTGAACCCAGACTCTGCCAATCAGCTACCCTAAACCCTAAACCCTAAATAGTAGGATCCTTATTATAAGGACTAAGAAGGGTCTACCTAAGACGACCTAGCAGCCTCCAGGCCGGCACTGCAAATCTTTCGCCGACACCGAAACCGACATGAAGCGAGACTGTCGTACTTGTCCAGAATCCTAGGGGAACGAAACGTGAACCTTGCGGATTATGTAGGAATGATCATACCCCCAGGTACCTCCTTTCGGATTATGTAGGAATGATAAGACAATACCCAAAAGGAAGTCAAAGGTTCGTGGCTCTACTACTCGGCTCTGCTGATATTTGTCGTCGTCGACATTGCAGTGGTAGTGGCAGCGGACGTAGACGTACGAGGCAACAGGCCTGGGAGTAACAACGGTCTTCGTGATGATATGCACAAGGACAGGCCTAGACAAGCACCAAGTTCAAGAGCGTGCCAAGTGTACTGATAAATTAAGTCTATAGCTGCGACCGGGCCGTACGGCAAGACCACTTCGCTGTCTCGTGCTTGTGGCACTTTGCCGCGAAGGCTTTCGGCCTAGCTTGTCAAGTTTTGGATAAGCCAGGACAGACCTGAAGTCTAGCCATAAAGCCGTTCGCGAAGAGCCCTGAACCATAAATCCAAGTACCACCTCAGTTCCACACCAAGCCCTCGACCAACATACTGTTAAGCAACTTTCGACATGATGCCGGTGGTACTTCTATACGAACCTAACACTGTTACAATGTCGTTCGAAAGCCCTCCGAAACCCTGTGGGACCCTAACACAAGTCCGACGATGGATCCTCATAAAAATGCGGCGAAGCGCTACAAGTCTAGATAAGCAGCAGGCAAAACTCCGAATATGAACACTTTTTTGACATGGGTTTAGGGGTTTAGGGCTTCGAACATGAACCCGAAAATCCTAAAACCTAAATCCATACCCTACTCAGCCCAAACCCTAAACCCTCATCCCTAAGCCCTACACACCTTAACCCCTAATCCTTAAACCCAAAATTAACCCCAATCCATAAACCCCTATACCCTAAACCCTAATCCTTAAACCCCAAACCCGAAACCCCAAACCCAAAACTCCAATCCCTAAACCCTATACCCTAAACCCTAAACCCTTACAGAAGACCGGCAGAGCTTCCGCGAGCTCCTTGTGCTGGTGCACCTTTGGCACTGTGCCCAGCAGTCTGCTCCTGGCATCTTAAGTCTCTTGGGTTCTAGCAGAGTTCTGAACGTTTTTCAACTACTTTTGGAAACCCTAAACCCTAAGCCGTTTGAATAGGGATTTTGACCGATTGAATAGGGATTTTGCGAAGGATTTCGAGATGATAGAGTCTGAGGGGTGCAGAACCGGTCTGGAAGAGGTGTTAAAGGCTGAACAAGCTCAAGGGGCAGCCGTAAGGATGAATGGCTGCAGAGATTGGGGTCATAAGTTTAAGGCTATAGTAGTTTAGGGTTTAGGGTTTAGGGTTGAGGGTTTAGGGATAAGACTCAGCGATTTTGGTCACAAGTTCAAAGCTATAAGGGGGCATTCTCTAAATGAGGGTCTCTTTTTCCGGTCCTTTTTAGAAGGGTGCCGTACCTATATTGGGGACCTACAAAGGGACCCTAATTTAGAGAACTACCCATCTAAGACTCAGCGATTTTTTTGGCTTGTTGCTGGGAAAGACCCGTGAACGAAGATCCTTTGAGCTTAAGATCTGAAGATCCCCTAGGCCATCAAGGCCGTGTTTTTTTTCTCAGGCTATTAGGGGTTTAGGGTTAGGGGTTTAGGGTTTAGGGGAGCCTTCCGGGTATTGCATGCTTCATGGCTTCGCGAAGCCCGAAGCGAAGTCCGTGGGCACTTGGAAGTCCATGGGTAGTTATAAGTGGGGTTCTTTGTTGGGTAACCGTACTTCTAACACGTACTGGGGGACTTGTAACCCCACCTATAAGGGGGCTTTCGAGACTAGGGGACCCTAGTATAATCTTCTAAATGGTAGGATCCTTGTTATGAGGACCCCAAAATAAGGCACCCCATGGTTTCGGAAACTCCCAGAACTACCCAGGAGCCAAGTACTCCACCCGATGAGCAGCCTGCACAGACCTAGGCCGGAAAGCCTCTGATGCGAGTTTCGGGTTTTGGGGTTTCGGGGCCTTAATGATTAAAATGGGGTTTTGGGCGGCTGTCGGCATGATACAGATTTGGGTGTAAGGGGTTTATTTACTTACATATATTTTGCATTTCCGTGCCTTCAGTGGTGTACGCGGCCGAATTAACTCTTGCAGTGTTCCCCCTTTCGAAACAGCAAGAAAGCCTTTGCAAGGGGGTGTCGCCAAAACGAACTTGGGGCTTCTAGGGTTGGCCTCCGGCCATCAAGGAGACTATCCCACAAAGCCCTCAGTTGTCTTGGCAAAAGCGATAAAGGGTCTTTGACCACAGTAGCTCACCTCTGCCTGAGATCCATGCAGCTTCCCAAGTCTCCGGCAATTCATGTAGTGAGTCACCCTGGGTCCCGTGCTCGCTCTGGTAGGTTTCAACCGCACTTTTCCAATCGAAACTTTCCAGGACCCCTTTGAAGGAGCTCCTCGCGTAGACATCGTTCCCCTCCTGCGTTGCAGTGTCTGAGATGTCATTGCTACCGGCCACTCCCTTTTGTAGAGCCGCCACAATATTCGAAAACTGTTTCTCGCTCCATAGTTTTATATCTGGATCTGCTTGCAGAAGTGCCGCCTCGCTGGCAGCAGACTGCAGGGCATCCTGGATTTCAGACTCATAGAGCGGCTTTAGAGCATCTGCGTCATCTGGAGGTGTTGCATGAACAATCTCACAGACCGCCTCATGGAGCTGCTTTGTCCAGCTGTTCCATTCTTTCACCGTAGGTGACGGTGAGCTCCGCTGATCTTGGCGGGGCGCTGCCGGGGTGTAGGTGTCCAGCTCTCTCTGCCGTCTCCCCCGGCTGCCGTAGCCTGGGACAACCTCAGCAGCACCTTTTCCTTTGTGCAGAAGGGCCTTGACGGACTGTCCAGAAAACCGGAGGTGGTCCTCGAGTCGCCCAACTGTCCAAAATTCTTTGGCATGCGGAACAGTATGTTCCCGTGACACACTGTCTGTACTCCGCCACTCGTCCATGCGTCTTGAAGAAATGTACACTGAGGCCCGCCTTTTTCTTGAACCCCTTACTGCACATCCTGCAAACCCAGCTTTGGTCTTTCTTGTTTCCTCCTCTCGCCCCGGCAATCGTCCTGTAGAGAAACCATTGGCAGACGAGCACGGCCTCCTCTTCCTTGTAGGCTTCAAAGTCCTGTCGGTTGCGGCGCTTCGCCCGCCGTTTGACTCTCGCCGGGCTGGTTGTGAGGACATGGTGCCAATGGGGCCAAGCAGCCGCGTCCAGTAGTGGCCATTGCTCTTCTTCACCATGCACCAGCCACTCTAGGTCCTGTCGTAGCTGCCGCATCCATTGTGCCTCGTTCTGCAGGATTGCCCACAGGACAGGTGGTCCTGCTGTGGCCAGGGATATGAGCGCAGAAATGCGACTCCTCCTTGCATGCATCTCCAGAGGCCAACATCCTGTAGCCCAGTGTGCCAGCGGGGTTGGAACCTTGTAAAGCTCCGGGGCCTTTATGTCCTTGGCCAGTAGGCGACGCACAAGCCTGGAGTAGGCATCACTCATCATCCTCCACTCCTTGGTTCCCACAATCCAAATAGCCAGGTTGAAATACGTTGTCACAACCGCCGTGTTGAAAACAGCTGTTCTCGTAGACATCCGCAAGTCCTGGTTTTGGAGTAGCAGGTCTTTGGCCGCGTCATACGCCGCACTGGCCAGGGCTGTTCGGTACCTGGCTTCATGAGCAAGTCTTGCCATGGGGTCGACCATCGCGCCAAGGTGTTTGTAGCGCTGGACAATGGGTATACTCTCCTTGAGGTCAGGGAGGAACATCTCCGGCTTCCCATTGGTGAAGAACGTACGTCTTGCCTGGGTCGCTCCTTTACCAACCAATCGGAGAATAATGCTGGTCTTCTCCCTCTTCAGGTTGGGGGACAGTCCATGTGACCGGAACTGTGAGACGACCACAGAGGAAACTCGAGCCGTCCGTTCCAGGAGCTGCTCCGCACTGTCTCCTTCTATCGCCCAGGCAGTATCGTCAGCCCATGTTGTGTCCCACGCCTGCTGTGGATCTTGGTCCGGGTGTCGAGCAAAGGGCCCTTCAGTCGGGTTCCATGCAACTTGGAAGTTAATGCCCTCACCTTCCATGATCTCATGCACCCGGTAGAGTATCTTTGCATACACAAACGCAAAAATAGTGTCCGCCCACGAGGCACCTGGTCGGGAGCCTGCAGCGGACGTGCAAACCCATTGACCATCCGTGAACCTTGTGGTACTCCAAGTATTGTTGTGGAAGTCCCGAACCGCCGCTGTCACTTGCTCAGGGATGCTAGCTGCCGGGAAAATACCTCCATCAACAATAAGTTGAAGTAGTTCAGCGATGTCGTCTCCGTCCAGGTCAAAAGCCTTGAAGAGCTTCTCGATCGTTCCGTCGCACCTGATATCTCCCAACGCCAACTCTCTGACCACCCTGTAATAGGCAGCCCTGCAATCAACGAATAAGATTGCCATACTTTTTCCTCGTTGTTGGCACCGCCGGAGGTGTTCAATGATGAAAAGGGACGGGAAGAGTATGGGCGTATGCTTCTTGGAGCCACAGTGAAGTGGATGCAGGAACTGTTGGACTTCCACGTTGACCTTGGTCCGCATAGCCTTGTGCAGAGATTTGCCAAGGAAGCTGGAGATATATAGGCTTCGGTGGTTGCTCGTTTCACACTGTGATCCGGCATTCTTGTAAGCCTCGAACAGTACTCCACCTCTCCACTGTACTGGTTGCCGGCCCCCGAGAAGGGACTTGACATACAACGGTTGTATCATTCTGGTCAAGGGGCCCGGACACATACTCAGCACGTCGCTTGGTATGGCATCAAGTCCTCCAGCTTTCCCTTTCGGTGTGTTTCTGAAGACCTTTTCAATCTCCAAAGCATTCGGAAGGGCCTGCCAGTTCCACTCTGCCATACCCGGTGGGGTCCATTGGGAAGCTTCTGCCAGGAACTCCTCAGTCCTGACAATTTCGCCCTGTTCCTGGTCCCCGAAATATCGTAGCCAGATCTGGTCCCGGTGCAGACGTCGCCAAGGTTCCATCCACAGGATTGACGAGCTTTGGGAGTTCCCTATGGACAGGTCGCCTCGATCTTCCTCCAATTCCTGCCTTGCGGGCTCGTTGTAGGACCGCCGTGACCGTTTGCTGGCCCTCCGTGGCTATCCGGTGCAAGAAATCATTCTTGGCTTCAGCGATCATCTTCTTGATCCTCGCCGTTGCACAAGTAACTGCCCCAGCCACGAGCTCGTAGAGTAGGCCTCGCTTCGCTACCTCCTGGCCGAAACTTGGTTGGTTGCCCCTGGCCCATCGGTCAAAGGCAGCCCTTCTCAATCTGGCCCACAAAGACCTGCGCTCCCTCGTTCTTTGCTTGAGGGCATTCTTTTGGTCTCGCAGGTCCCACACAAGCTGTGGGATATAGGAGGCCCGGCCGTGCTTGTCGTCCGCCTTGAAGTGCTGCTGTAGGCATTGTACCAGGTGGTCCTGTACCATCTGGCAATGTAGGTCAGGATGCGTGTGCCATGGTGGTTGCTGGAAGTCCTCACAAGCCTGTTGTAGTAGCTTGCGGCCCTCCTCAGTGGCCATCTTCGTCTTGTCAAACTGTGGCCGCCAAAGCTTACCGCGGTTTCTTCCAGCAAAGAATTCACCAGGTAAAATCACCTGCACGAGCCTGTGGTCCTCATTGGGGCTCCCATTGTCAAACTCTGTCCTGACCTCGCTCCTTGTCATGTCGATGCGGGCCCGTCCACCAACGAAAAGGTAGTCGATTCTGCTCTCACTGCCGGAAGGGTGGCAGTAGGTGCATGAATCTCCAACATGGATCGTGGCGAAAGTAGACGGCGCCCACAGGCCACTGGCAGCCAAGGCCTCGGCACATTGTCGTCCGGTCGCATCAGGCTCATCGAATGCCAGGTCACCAGTGACCTGATCATGGCCCAGGGGCATGCGTCCATTTAAGTCAACGCCGCAAAGGAGGAGCTGCACATTCTTTAGCCTGGTGAAGATTCCATCAAGTTCACTGATGAAATCATCCCGTTCTTTGCGGTTGCCTCCCTGTGGGCAATGTGCCGCAACAAGGCCAATCTTGGCTTCCGCGACCTTGACTGTCACCGCCAAAAGTCTCGGCCCCTCATGTAGGATGGTGACATTCTCCTCCTGGGGCACGACTGGTCGTCCTTGTAATGTCGCCAGTCCCAAACTTCGGTGCATCCAGATGGCCACTCCCCAGTGGCGCTGCGATGCACTTGCCATCCGGTAGTACCTTTGGCTCATGCATTGTCCACCGCCAGCCTTAGTCTCCTGGAGGAAAGCAATCTGCACTCCCATATACTCAAGCTGTTCCTCAAAGTATCGGAACTGCCCAGAAACCCCTTGCACATTGACCGTGCAGGCCTTGACCTGGAAATTGGCAGGGGCCACGCCTTTGTCCTGCGCTCCGTCACTCAGTGGGATAAGCTTCTCTGCAGGGAGTCGATAGGGCGTGAAAGACTCATCGTTCCACACCAGGTGTCCCTGTTCCAGGATAGCCGCATTGGTGGCCAAGGCTCTTATCTCGAAACCCACCCATGTGAGGTCCGAGTTCAGGAAGGCCCGGATGACATTCTCCGGCGGCTCATGTACACAGCCCTTGCCTTCCGCCATGCTTCTTGCCACACAATCAGCAAGTTCGTTCCAGCCGTTGCCAGCATGGCCTTTGACATGCTGATATGCAATGTCAACTCCGTTCATCTCGCTGGCCATGATTTCAAGGCTTCTAATTCTGTCACCCAGCTCGTTCGCCGTAGACCAACGGCCCGATGCTCCATATCCCGCTGCCATGCAATCGAAACAAATGGTGCACGTGACCTGGGGCAATAGGGAACGCATCTGCACCGCCCAAAGTATTGCGACCGCAATCGCGGCTTGTTCAGCATCAAGGGCAACAGCCTGTGAGACTGGCCAGATCCCATCTGCCGCAAATTGTCCGCCAACTGCTCCCAGGAGGGCTACCATTGCACCGATCTTCAGCAAGATGACGACACCATATCCTCCAGCAGTTCTCGTCCTGCTGGCTGATCCATCGGTGTACAGCTGAAACTCGGCCTGGTCAGCTTGTCCCTGCCGCATCATTTCTCGCCACTCCCCCAGATCAACCGTATCTTGTAGGGCTTGTTGTGCGGCTGGGTGCTTCTGGCAATGCGTAAAGTCATAGTGCAGCCAGTGCAGAGGCCACGGACAAAACATAGGCCACAGCGTAGAGAAAGAATGCGGCAGCTGGAGGCGTTCTCGGGTGAGGTCAAACGTCGGGGCCGGGAGGTGCTGTGCCAACCTCAGATCACTTCGGCTGGCCGTACCTCCTTCATGGTCCGTGGTTCGTCGCCGTGGTGATCGGCTTCTGTTGACTGGCTGCGATGGAGGGGGGCCTCTAGGTCGATTGTCTCCTCCAGGGGGTTCAGAGGGGCTCGAGAATTCGCTCGACCCAGGGATATGATCATCCGGGTCCGTGCTCGAGTCACTTGATTGGTCAGAGCCATCCTCATCCATGGACTCAGTTGCATCTTGGTCCTCTATGGGCTGCAGGTGAAATGTGATGACCTCGCCGTGTCGGATCCGGATTGTCGGGCCTCCGACATTGGGCTCACCACCCGTAACCACAACTTCCCATCCTTCGATGACAGGAAACTGTATCCCTTCCAAGTAGGCTTGGGGGTTCATCTCCGCCGTCTGGAAAGCCATCCACTGGGGAAAATACGTCAGTGGTCGCAAATCCAAGAAAACAACATAGGTCGTCTCATGGTCGAACTGGCTGTGCGGGAGGATGGCTATGGGCGCGCTGATAATCTGGCCACCATGGGAGAGGTGTTCCGGCGGCTCCCCCGGGATCAACGACCAACAAACCTCCTCAATGTCGAGTTCGTCGGCTCCTCTCACCTCGTGGTATCCCGGGTCAGGCACTTCGATCTCGCACACCACCTGGTCATCAACTCCTTGATAGACAGTGTATTGTCCCCGGACTGGCGGCGGGTGGTCTGTTTCAGGCCGCCAAAGCGCCGGGTTCATCAGTCTTGGTCCAATATCGGAGGCCCAATCGCAGACTTCCCCGCGATATAGGACCTTGATGAGTCCTCCCATCATTGGCTGCCTCCGCTCCAAATGACTCATGGGATTCAGCTGGCCGAATAGGAAAACCTCAAGCCCCGAGACATCCGTCGCCGGCACCTGCGCGAGGATGTTGTTCTTGGTCAAGGGGCCTTCATGATAGATTGCAAACGCACTGCCTCCGATTGCTTGGCAGTCCAGTACCATACAGTACCGGTTCAAACTTGCCAACCAAGGCGGGCATGCAATGAAGCTTGCATAGTCCTCATGCAATTGTGGGTACGTGGCCACGATCTGGGTGAAGTGGTCCGGGGCGATTGTGGCACCCCATGTGATAATGCTTTCCAGTCGTTCCATCGTAACTGGAAACTCCATGGCCACATCCTGAGTCTGAGTCGAGTAGTGCGGCGTTGCAACCCAGATGGATATATGGATCGCCCTGTCAGTGGCTGCCTGTGGCGGCTCTTGCACCGTCTCCGGGACCGGAACCGCATACTCCGGAGGTGTTGCTTCCCGCTCGAAATGGCCCAGCGGGCGCTCCCAGATCTCTCTGTCCATTGCCTCGCCTGCGTTTGCTCAGCAACCGTCAGCTGGCCAGCCGCCCACAAGTCAACGTCTCGTGGGCGCCGCCACTGGTCTGCCCCATTGGTATCCGGTACACCTGCGACCTCAGGTGCCACGACCGCAAACATGAGCAGGATATGTGCTGTCTGTCTCCGCCCGCTGCGGACCCCATAAATACAGGTCTTGCCTGTTCTTGTTCCGGCTGCTTTTCGCAGGCATGCACATAGCTCCAGGAAAACGATCATGGAGAGGGTAAGGCACAGCCCCATTGCAGCTCTGCCCGCTTCAAACAGCCAACTCCATCTCTTGAGGTAGAGCAGCTGTTGCCATGTCTCGATGTAGCCCAGGACATCCCATGTCTCGCAGGCCCGCTGGAGCAGGTTCACTGCATCCATATCTTTGTTCGTATCCTTCTTGAAATCCCTTGGCGGTATGTTTTCATCGCCCCTGGGTTCATGGTATTGAGCAGACTGACCGAAAAAGCTGCTTTTGTGGCGACGGGCCCTTCCCCAGGCACCGTCATAGTCATATACTGCGTCATAGATTGCCGCAGGGACGGACCGAAAAAGCCCTGCTTTGGCATTGCTCATAGTTCCTGCTACTCTACACCAGCCGACTCCGGTGCAGTCTTCCCCAGACCACCAACCATGTCCTCCTCGTCGGAGCTGCGGAGTACCTCCTCTGCCAGCCCACGCTTTGCATCCAACTTCTCGCCCAGGGCTGGCCCTGTGGGGCGCACCGTGTTGGGGGTCCGACCAGCGCATTTGATTGACATCCGTGGCTGGCTGGGTCGTCTGACATCCTTGGGCTCTCTGGCCGCACCAGGCATCATCCCTGTCATTCCCGGGGAGTTCAAGTACGGGTCGTTCTTGGCGTCGATCTCCTCGCTGACATAGGTCGGCTTGAGCGCCGTGGTGCGTCTGTCGGTGTCGGCCTTGTCCGCTGCAGGGGTCATCGGCTCTGTGGTTCTCGTCCTGCGCGGGGGAGTGTTGTGGGCCTCTCTGTCTTCTTGCGCGGACAGGAAGTCCAGCATTTGCTTTCTGGCGCCTTTGCGAAGCTTGCCACCATTGGCAGCCGCTGCAGTCAGCAGCCCAGCAAACTCTGACATCGGGTCGTCCGGGACGCGCGTCAGATGCTCCCACTCCTCCAGGGCTTCCACTGGGTGGTCCGTGCGGCCAAGCTCCGGTAGTTCTTCTGGGTGGGCAAGGATCTCCTTCATCTCGACAATGGCCTGCTCCTTCGCCACCTGCTGTTCTTGTGTTTCGGTTCGCAGCTTTCCCAACTTCTCGAAGTGTCGGGTGCGCTCCTTGAGGAACGATTTCTTGAGATCCTCCTGGTACTGTTGCCACTGCTGCTCGGCGTCCTCTCTGTCCTTGTCGCTTTTGCGGATTCTGGCATCCGCCCTCCTGACCGTGTTGGCCAGCTTCTGGATGTAGCGAACAAGGTCGCCGCTTTCTCCTCCATTCTGGCTCTGGCCCTCGCGCCCATTGGCCTCCTGGGTCGCTCCGCCACTCGTCTGTGGCCCTTGCCGGGCTGGTTGTCCGTCGTAGGAGGGAAACTTGTTCTCGTGCTGCTCCTTGGGCTCCTTGGGCCACCGCTGCCGTTCCTTGCCGCCACCTTTGCCATGCCACGAGGCTTGCTGCGAGGATCGCGACCATCCATAGTCGCTTTCCCATGCTGCTTTGCGACCCATGAGCTCGCGGTACTCCGGCTTGCTGTGGTGGTTGTAGAGCAGCTGTAAATCTGCCTGCCTCGGGCGGTGGTGCTGCGCACGGGCCTTGTGGATCCGGCCTCTCGCACGCGATCGTTGGAGCCGCTGGCGTCGGTGCCAGCTTGGGGACCAAGGTGTCCTCTGCAGACCTATGGCTGCAACGTGCTCTTATCAGCACTGGGGTCTTCGGCTATGGCCGTGTTCCTTCACACAGCCTCGATCCGAAATCCCTACTTACATATATATATATATATA